CATTTCTGCGCTGATGCGTTGCGAGAGAAAAATGTGGAAATCTGGCCAAAAGGGGCAAGGTACTCCTTGCCCGATCTGACCATATTGCCTCTACGGGCAATATATCTTGCCAGAACGGGCAATATTGCCTCATCGGGCCAGAAGTCATGACAACGGACTGCCAGGTACTACGGCAAAATTTTGAGTTCGATCAGATGAAGTTTTCTAGGAATTATGATGTATTGGATTGAAAAGTTTAGTTTTCTAGAAAAACTATAAAAGAATATGTCATAAGAACTTGATCAAATACATCGATTCCTTTTTTGGATGCCTATCCCTAGTAAAAACATGGGTTCAATCGGACTTTTGCTTTCATCTTTGCCAACAGGGTGGAATCAGAAGACGAGTTATTGGTGTTTTTTACCAGTGCTACATATTTCTCAAGCTTGGTCCAACTATTTATTTGATATAGGTGTTGTTCGAAAGAGATGAGTCTGGACAATGGATTCATACTAAAAATCAAAATTGTTACATAAAAGGATATAAGTTGATCGCTCGAATAATATCTACTTTCATAGTATTTTTCTTTTTATGAACATCCTATATTAAGGTTTTTTGTTTAAACAAGTAAAAAACGTTGCATGTTCAACCTATTTCAAACCCGTTCGCCATTTTCGATTAGCGATAGATGAAACACACCAACAAGTACACGATACTTCACGAGTAAAACCACACAAAGCTCTCTTCTATTCAGGCATTGGTAGAGAACTCATCATCTTATAATAGGTAACGTTCATAAAAGAGAGTCACACAAACGTTTATCGTGACTGTGTCACTATTTGTACGAGTATTTTGCTTAGTTTCATTATGGATTAGATCTCAACAACATGCAAATCAAGTATTATAGTGTGTACTGAACGTTTCGAACTTGGATGGTGTTTGATCAAAAGTTTAAGTAGGAATCTTCTGTTGTGACTCGCCTCTTTCAAATAACACGCGCATTGAAGAAATGGCTGACTTGTTTAGGATACAAAAACTAAACGTCATTTAAGTGGTTAGCCTGTCATCTGAAAGTGAACGAGTACTTGACCTTGGATAAAACTATTTGCAAAATAATCCCAATTTACTACCTTTCTCAGAGCTTTTGAACAAGATTTCAACGGATCAATTGGTGAAATTCTCTGGTACCAACTGCATTGACTACCTGTTCGTTTTCTCAAAGAACGTCTCTGGATCATTGCATAACGTTTAGAAAACATGTGGTATAAATATGCATGAGTGCTATAAGTAGATATAAATTGTAAAAGGTTACACGACCGGTTTAATCCGATATTTTACCATTCAGTTTCTCCTCTGAAAAGCTCATATAAAGTAGAAATAACATCGTCATATGCTATGTCTGACAGTAATTTTGTGAACTCTTTTTTTTCCAGAAATTTTTCTTTTACGGAAAAAATTATTGAACTTTTCTAGTTTTTCATTCCTTGATGGATTTAATATTTAACTTATAATTAAGTCAAATCAACACTAAAAAATTGTGTGTTAACACACAATCGGAAATATGTGAAAGTGTGATTGCTTGTCCATATGTGCAAGTGTGTTAAAAATTTGTGTGTTGTGTATAAGTGGATTACAAATATGTGTTGACGTGTGCAACTGTGTTTTAATGTGCAATTTTTCATTCATCTTTTTGTTTTGCGTCTCTTACTTAATATAATAATCGCTTAATTAGATAAGAACAAGTTTTTTTCCCACTAAAACTGCTCGTAACTATATTAGATGTCCATTTTACAGGACCACGTTAGATTCAAAAAGTACAACATTGCGCAGTTCCTTAGCAGCTAACAGAAATACACTGGATACGGTCACTAAATGGGAATTGCTTTTTCCAGTTAAAATATCACAAAATCTAGTGAAGTTTCCTTCTTTATTCCACAATATCCAAAATTTTGGGATAAATACGACAATTATCTATGAAGTATCGAAATTAAACTTCACATAGCAATGGTGTACTGTTTTTCCATTTAGAGACAGACATACATTATCCACTAAAATAGAAAGAAATGTCACTATATCGTAGTCGTACATTCCGGCGTAATCCTACCGTAGAACAAGAAATAAAAATAATCGATAATCCATTAGAGGGAGAAAAAGTAAAGCTTGTTCGAAGTAAAAGCGAACTTGTACAAAAAAAAAGTGATAAACGAGAGAGAGTAACAAAAGACAAGCGTTTGATCGAAGATGATTACCAAGCACCATTGACTGCATCACATTTAAAACCACATTCAAAATGGTTAATTGTTCGACATAATTTACATCATATCCGTTGTATGGGAGGTAGTGCTAAAGATGATAAATTACCAGATTTATATAATGGTTTCCAAATGAAACGAGAATTAACACGTGCACAAGAAGCGATTAAGAATGTTGATAACGATAAAAATTTTGCACCTGTTAAACGATTTGGTTTGGCTGCTGATAAAGACAATGTAGTGAAATTTTACAATACAGCACATGTAACAGACCATGATGCATTAGTCTACGATAAACTGGGTGGTGAACCGTTGTCTTTACAAAATTTGTTATATTACTTTAGTAAACAAGACATAAAATACGGTACAATTTATTGGGAATTTTTAAATGAAGTTAATCGGGTATTAAATATGAATCGAAAGCGTATGGCTCGTGTTGCTAGATTGCGAAAATTAGCATTGACGCTATCTGTTATTCTTTATTCGATTCTTGGCATAATGTTATTAGCACTAATTTTCGGTGTTATTACTACAGCGACAAAGTTTAACGATCCAGAAGTTCAAATTGATTTTATCAAATTCGAAGACTAATATGATTTTATATTTTGATTTTTGATAGATAGCTTGAGTTACTACCTTCATTTACTATACATATCATTTAACGTTGACAGGTTGTATTATTTTTTAATAAATAGTGCAAATACAGTAGCAGCAAAAATTATTTGTACGATCTTGTTTTAATCATAACTCGGTAACGAAAAAAGCTTTGGATAAGCGATTTGCACCAAAATATTCCCCGTTCTCTCTAGTATATTTGTAGATAAAAGAAGTTAGAAATATTCATTGTTGGCTTAAAGTCGCGTTTTCACCCGAAGGAAGACGCTTTTCAAAATTATTTTTTCACTAAAATGTAGCCCGCGCTCTCTTCTATCCATTGATGTAGTTTTCATATTTTGTCGGTGCTTATACAAGCGAAAAAAAGATTTTATCAACCGTACAAATAATTTTTGCCTCCGAAAGACTTTTATTTTTCGATCTGATGGGCCTACAACGAGCAACAATAAATATTTCTAACTTCTTTTATCTACAAATATACCAGACAGAACGGAGAATATTTTGGCGCAAACCGCTTATCAAAAGCTTTTTTCGTTACCGAGTTACGATTAAAACAAGATCGTACAAATAATTTTTTGCCGCTACTGTAGGTAAACGCGACAATTGTTTCTTACAATTCAAATATTGTCTGAAAAACGAAAACGAATCTAATGTGTAAAAAGATTGCTGGAATAGATAAATAATCAAATATAAATCATGGTATGAACGTTATCTCAGTTCTGAAAATTTGTGAAACAATCCTTGTCAATAGAGCCAATTTTATGATACAATACCACAGTATGTTACATCTAAGTTGGTATTGGCTATATTAAAAACTCGAGTTTTTACCGAGAGCTATGTCAGATAGACGTAACTAGTGTGTATCCTGTAGAGGTGTGTATATTAGCTGTTCTGTAATATTTTTTTTCTGTTCTTCTATTCTACGATGGTCTGACTAGAGGGCAAATCCATCTGAAATGTCCCATCATTACACCATCTTGCTCCGCTTTATTTAAAACTAATCTAGTTTTATAGAACTCATTAAATTACATAAGAAACTGTCTTTTTGACTTCATAGCTAATGCAAAAACCGAGAAAAATGACTTTTACTCTCCAGGATTCAGCGCTACTTTCAATGCAAGTTCATGAATACTGCAATACGTTTTACAACACGTTCTCGCTTTTTCAGCAAAGACTTTACGATTTTTATTAAAGATTAAGACATGAACTATATTCCCTAAAACCTTGAAGGATGTTCCATGTAAGGTTCACGAGATATTGAACTTTTCCAAACGAAGTGTGTTTGAGTTTTATCTCAGTATTTTAAACTTGGATTTTGATAAAAACAACTTTCTATAGGTTTTCGTACATTCTCAGTTCGATGACCATAAAAAGCGGGTTTTCCAAACTTTTATATGGTAGCTGAGACCACCGTTACTATGGTACCACGAACATTAGTAGCTAACTGCCCCTTGTTCTTTTTTCCGATGTAAAGATTTTGTACAAGATTTTATTCAACGAGTCTTTGAGTAAGAGGGAATTTCCGTCTATTTGACAATTAGGGTATGTCCAGGCTCTCTTCAAAAGCGGTGATTCTCAAAGCTGCAACAATTATCGGCCAATTACTCTTCTTCCTGCCCTATCCAAAGTCCTTGAACGTGTTATTTACAGGCACATTTTTGGGTTTCTAAGAATAAATAACTTGATAAGTAAAATCAGTCGGGCTTTATTCCTAATGCCTGATCCGTAAATCAACTTATAGCCGTAGTTGACTACATTGCTAGTAGTTTTAATGAGCGGATATCGGTTTTAGGAATCTTCTTAAACTTTGCTAAGGCTTTCGATAAGGTAGAACATGAAGGTCTACTTATCAAACTTCGCAGTAAGGGCCTTTCCGATTCCCTGCTTGACTGGTTTCGTAGTTATTTATCTGACAGGCGAATAGTTACGGTCATGGATGGAGCGACATCGGATCCACTCCTTGTTACTTGTGGGGTACCTCAAGGCAGTTGCCTCGGTCCGTTACTGTTTCTAATCTACACTGATGACCTGCCACGTCTACTTCAGTCCTTTTCCAAACTATTTGCAGATGATATCTCGCTGTACCTTAAGGCAGATAATTTGACTATAGCCGCGTCAGTTTTGAATCAAGACTTGGAAAAAATCAGCCAGTGGTCGAAGGAATGGGCGTTGCCTCTAAACGTCAATAAGTGTGTTTGTATGCTATTCACTTGTGGAAGCATCCCGAGCCATTTCCCTCCTTTGTTCATTGGTAACATTGTGCTAGAGTATGTTGAGAAGCATGTCCATTTGGGATTAACATTGACTACTACCTTGGGATGGAGATCGCACATAAATAGCCTTTATATCTGTTTGTCACATATAGTTGGATCGATGAAGTTTTTGAGTAGGCAGGTTTCTCGACAAACTCTTGACTCTGTGTATCATGCCTTCGTGTTGAGTATTCGCAACTATGGAATCGTTATTTATGGTGGTACTGATTTGCGCAATATCAATTGTCTGAACCAAATTCAATATCAGGCAGCTTTAGCTGTCTCTGGGGCTATGATGGACTTTTCTTAAGACTATTCTTAAAGACTTAGGGTGGTTATCAATTAATGAGCTTATTTACGTTCGACGCATGTGTTTGTTTCATAAAATCATGCATAGTAAAACTGCTACTTATCTTATGGCACTTTTTTCTATGCCAGGACCCCAGGTTTATCAAACTCAAAGTTTCAGTCGAGGAGACATCTCCTTGAACTTAAGAGGTCGGGCATTATTGGAGAAATTCTTTATTCGGGATGGTATTCGTGCATGGAATCTTCTACCTAATGATATACGTTCAATACATAAATTGACTGATTTTAAACTCATATTAGTCTTGCAATATATTTCGTCCTTTCGTTTACCGTTAATGCGTGATCGACGGTTGGAAATACATCATACGCGGTGTAGAGTTGATAACCCCCAACTAAATAACTATCTCTTTACTAGAGTTGGATTAGAAAAGTCACCGGCGTGTGCATGTGGCTTTAATAGAGAGACTACTAAACATTTTTTCATGGACTGTGCTCGTAATTTTATGTCTGAGCAGCTGCGTATTGTTCTTAATGATAATCACATTACGTTGGAGTACATACTTTTGAAACATGAATCTATCCGAGCACTGGCTAAGCAGGACCTGACAGGAGTGTATACAGCCATCCTCCAATTTATTGATACTACTGGAAGATTTAATCAGTCGTGGTATACTAAACCTTCATGAGCAGGACGTCACATGGATACAGCGGATCTCAATATTCGATTCCTAATTCTCTCTCTCTTCACCAACACTAGTATAATCTCTCTTCTATATATACTCATTTTGTTTCAGCATGTTCATCTACAATCCGGCATACAATGGAATATCCCGAATTGCCGAATAAGTGTTTTTCTCTGGTAGTTGTATTTTTATTTTTACTATTATTTCGTAAATAAAAGGAAAACTGTTTAAAAAAAAAGATTTTGTACGGTAGTCATGAGAGATATATCTCGTGAACCTTACTTGGAACATCCGTCAATCGGCTTACGTAACTTGATGAGCTCCATAAAACTAGATTAGTTTTAAATGAAGCGAAAAAACTTTTGTAAAATGTGGGACATTTCAGTGAATTTTTTCCTAGACCATTCCTCGTGTGCAAGTTGGACGTAAAAGTTAAGCGAAAAATTCTACAATCAACGTATTTTTTACGGTAATAGTAAAATGTTGCGCTTAACTTATCACAATCAGCCTACTTTTTCTTATGTGTATATGAGAACTCAGGATATGTTCAGCTTCATAACTTTACATTTTGTAGCAAAAACTTCAGCTAGTTAAGAAATACAATTAGACTGTATGATTTTCTTTGCTTTATTCTAGCCTTTTACTTAGCGAAAGTGGACTCAAGAACTGATCCTGTAAAATAAAATTCCATTGGCATCCAGTGTTGATTTTCAGGTACCTTAACGAAAACAACTTAATGATATTTAAGACTTTTTTTTACTGTATTATGTATATTTTACTGAGAGTAAAATATTTGTTGAATATCGCTAAAATTCTTTCCAGGCATAGAATGCGTTCAAGAGGATCTTCTTTTCCCCAAGTTTCGCGTCGGATGATAGATTAAAGTATTCTGTATAACTTTATCACTGGACCTAGTACAAAAATCCGCTTCCGGAAGTTGATGGAAACAGATTTCTGTCTATATCGTGTAATTTGAAAGAAGTGCCTGGAATTACCCATGAAAAATGGTAGTGTTACCCTAACGGAAATCAGATAGATAGATAGAACTCATATTTCTGCATATGATGGTCTAATTTTTAATCATAAAGATGAAAGTTCATCATTGAAAAAGTTAATTTAGTTTGTACCAGTTTTTGACTGTGTTGACCAGAATTATCCTAACCCCAAATGGGGTAATTCCGGTCATTTAATAGCAATCGACTGGAAATCGATCAAAACTAATTACCTCTAATGAATTTTAACATGACTTTTGCACCAGTCGATAGCTACGACTCAAATCTATTGATCTGTGCAAAACCGTTTTTCTCTGGTTAAAAATAACTTAGCTATGGGCAAAACGCTGAAGTTACTCTATACAGCACGATAATTAATTTATAATAACAAAAAAACATTTATTTGACGTTTCGAGTCTACTGACTCATCATCAGAATATATGATGTACGAGTAAAACACCACGTTACTATCAAGGTTCCGAAGTGTACATATGAATGATCAACTGTAAAAAATATGTATCGAGTGCGTCATAATGAATGAGACTCTCAATATTTTCTATTTTTCTCGTGCTCCTTAAGTATCCTAAGACTAATGTTTTTTTAAAAGATCCATTGAAATACTCTACAAAAGTATACTTAAACTTTAATTTCATAACTTCAATCAAGAAAACTACGTAAATTATACAAAAGGCGAAAAAATGAAAACTGTGTAAATCTGGTATTTTTTTAAATTTGAACTTTTTTCTTCCGTTATTATTTCCTTAAAAAAGAGTAGGACAAGTGAGAACTCAGTTCTTTTTGCATTTTTGAATGTGCTCTTTCTCGGGGTCTGTAAAAATCTTTTTTTAGCGTAGATAGTATGCTGGAGAACGACGTTTCAAAAATATATCAAAAATTGACAATCCCCGTTTCCAGTCATGTGCTCAAGTAAAAAACGGAAAACATCATCCAAGTTTTGATTTTGCAGTTAGGTAGAGAAGAGCAATCATTTCTGGTAAAAGCAAAGCAAACCCGATCGAAAAATATTTTGTTTTGATGGAGTTATGGGACATTTACTGAAAGCACCACTATACCCAAAAATGAACGATTAATAGAAAAAATGCGTGACAACCGACAGTGAAATTATTATTTCTCCATGGATTTTGATGTGATCATCAGACATTTGGACGCGTGACACTTGGGCGCCGACATTTGGGCGTAACGACATTTGGGCACAATGACATTTGGGCGCAACGACATTTGGGCGCAACGAAATTTGGGCGCAACGACATTTGGGCGCATGTACGACAAAAGCATTCAGTAAGCGTGCATTTGTTAAAGTATGATGTATAACGATAAAATTTTCTATAAACAAACTTGGTACGGTGTGAGTGCTTTTTCTATATTACTCATATCCAACTGTAATCACTGTTTGTTTAATCTTCATCGATACTCACACTCATCCTCATCTGCACCGGCGCCTTTGAACTTCAACTACCGTTGCACCCAAATGTCGTGTAATACATTGTGCTCCAAATGTCGGTATACCACAAAATTTCATCTTATTTTGGGCAAAATATCAAAAATACGAAATAGTGTGCAAAAATACAACAGTTTTCAGCATACTAGATTCTAAAATCGGGTCTTACCCAAGAAAAAAGCAGTATTTTTGAAAACCAGAAGAACTTACCGTAGTTTTAGGTGTGCTGCAGCTGTGATAAAAAATTTTGCCCTTATCGATCAACCCCTCCTAGTAAAAACCGTGGCACAGGACAAGTTCATCGCAGAAAAAAACAGTTTTAAGAGAAACGCAAAATAAAAGTACAAAAACTGATGAGACTTCTAGAAAACTAGTCGAGACAGTCCCATAGAACTGTCAGAACGTCGGAGGAGCTGTTTCATCTGAAAGAGGAAAGTCGGTGGCCTATAAATTAGTGAAAGAGCCAAAAATTGTTTTCTTTTTTAAATTTTCGACTCACGAAAGGGAAAAGTGAGAACTCAGTTCGTCGAACACTTCGACTTTTGTATGATCTGTGTCGGTCAATGCGACTTAAAGCAGATTTTGGCTTATATTCTGAAGATGGTTACATTGAACGACGCAGGTCATACTAAAGTAATCGCCGGTATTTGCTCCGAATTGTATTTCCATCATTGTAGCTCTCATTTCTCTCCGGAGGCTAGAACGTTGACGAAGTAGTCTACTAAACAGCCATCTAAGACTTAACCTTCGTGACCACAGAAGAAAGGTGAGTTCAATCACGTATTCATACGGTGAAAATGTGACATCGGCAACATCTTCGCCAACTAGTAGAACTACATCAAAGATGTCTTGTTAAACAATAATATTATTAAGAAAACTGTTACTTCTACTGGAAGTTCAAAATTTCTAATTATCTCTTCACATTTGCTATATTCAGTTCAACTTTATAAAACAATTCTTTCAAAATTTGAGTATACATTCAATATACTTCGTGAAAATTTTTCATCAAACTCTCTAAACGTAGTCCATTTTGATTCCATTTGAGTGTGTGGTACCTCTTTTAAATGTTTCAATATGGTTCCAAGAACATATTTGCGTATAGATGAATAGTCATCAACCTCTCTGCTTGATGTTACCGCATGTATAAATGATATACTCGATCGACGTTCAATAATATCATCAACATCTTCATTCTTTAGAGTGGCAGACTGATGTTGATGTTGTTGTTCATCAGTCAGCAATATTTTATTCGATTTAACATCGATAATAGAAGTAGATGGTGCACTCTGCATTTTTTTTCGTATTTTACTAATAGTATCCGATGGTTTAACACTATTATTATTTATATTTGTATTGATTTTTTTTGTTTGTCTCTGTTCTTGTTGTTTTACTTCTTTGAATTTGGGTTTTTTAACTAAATTATCTTCTCCTGTAGAACGAGTATTAAGTTGTCTTGAATCAAATTTAGTTGTTGTGTTCGGACGACTGGTACTAACTAATTTTTGCAATTGTATTTGTCCACGACGCAGTTGTATATATAACTGATTAGTACTTTGCGTGATAGTAGGTGGCACAACATCGGGCAATTCAACTTTTTCTAATTCATCATCGGTTGTATCACCCGAATTATCATTTAAAAAACTTTTTTGACTCGTTAACCAATCAGGACTTTTTGAATTAGAATTTAGACTACCATCAATCATTTGTCGAAATTGTGTTTGATCGTATCGAGATGTCAGTGATGTTCGCGGTGGTTGTTGTTGATGTGATGATTTTTTCTTATCAGAATTTGATGAATTCAAACTATCCATTAAATCAGCTGATATTGTTTGTTCACTAAAATTTGTAAATGTTGATGTAATATAATTTAAATCGTCTTTAGTATCATATTCAATAAATATATTTTTTTGTGGTTGTGATTGTTGAACGACAAATACATTATTATTTTTAATTCGTTTTTTAACATGATCCATATATTGTCGATGAAAACGTTTTTCAAATAATGAATCAATGGCAAGTTGATTTAAATCTTTATACGATATTAATTGTTGATGTTTAACTGTATTTCGTTTTAATTCAATTGTACGTTCACGTCTTAGACGTACTTCATTTTCTCGACGTTGTTGTGTTTCTTGAACTAAATGTCTGACTTTTAATTGATATAATTTGAAATGTGATCGTAATGCAAATGGATCTTCTGTTAGCATACCAGTCATATTTACACCGATTATTGAACTATTAAAAAAAAGAAGAAAAAAAAAAGAAGAAGAAGAAAAATCATTATATATATTGAATAACAAAAAATGGAAAAATCTGATTATTTTTTATTATCATACTTATGGGAAAGTTATTTGCATATGCTAATTTCTATCACAGTATACAATGTATTTAAAAACTTTTTAGTTTTAGTGTATATGATCTTAGATACTATAGATTTTTTTCAACATCATCATACTCACATTATTGATTTCCATTCTATTAATCCTTAACTAACAACTTTAAATTATCAAACTTCAAATATTTCTGACTATATATTTTTATTTATTAGAGTAAAATCTATCATTAATTAATGGAAGATGACTGTGTTTAATGTTTCTAATGTCATGAACATAAAAAACGGAAATAAAGACTTACGGTCTGTTAAATGTTTCCTTTCATGTTTAACGTACGATTATAAAAAGAAAATTTTTGAATATAACACAAATTAATTTCCTGCAAGTAAAAACTAAAAATATGTCAAATACTAAATGACATTGTTAAGATATATTTATAAAGAAAAATCAATTTTTTTTCCTCTCCGTCTTCATCAAATTTTTCTTTAATAAAAGATTTTTTTTTTTTTCTTGTTCATTTAAGGTTCGTTGAATAGTCACTTAATCTGTTGATTTAATACTTCAAGTATCTGTTATTTGCAAAAAGTATAGATGAAGCAAAAGAATTAAACACTTCGATTCATTTTAAATTTAGAAAACATGAAACAACAACAATTTGACGATAAAAATGACTGAATCCAATTTTTTATTCTAAGTGTATATAAACCAGTATAATCATGAATAATTTATAAATCGTCAGAATGATCACGTCAGTGATAAATGTTAAAAATATGTTTTTTCAAGATAAAAGAAAAAAAAAGTATAGAACAGACAATTAAAAGAATAGGTGTTCAATCGACGTGATGGACGTGATGGTAGAAAAAGTGATTTATTTTACAATATCTTATTTTTTTTTCACTATTATTTGAACTTCTTTTTTCACATCTTAAACAAAATTGTTCTAAAGCAAAAATTTTTTATTTGATCTAATTTTTCTTCGTTTGTTGTCTCAAGGGACAAAGAAAATCTGGAAAATTCAATCTGGATGACTCAACATTCAAAAAAACCTCGATCAAATTCGTCTTTATTCTATAACTTCAAATGGAATAGAATGAGTTACTATCGTATCAAATGATCAGAACCGATTATCGATCGACTTTTAACTATTTTCGAGAAAAACTGATAGTTGGATAGTTATTGGATCTGAGAATGTTTTTTTTAAAAATATTTTATCTTTATTTGAGATTTAATTCTACAAATTCAGACTAGAATTCTCATACAACTTATAATTCTTATGATTTCGAGAATGACACAAGAGACCGATAGTTGTTCTAAATAATTTTTTGTCAGAACCTTGTATTCAATCTCATACAGAAAGTGAATTTTTATCTTGTTGTAAAAGTGAACATGAGTATGCTCTCTTTAAAGACGATGATCATTGTCGAATAACTGAATATTGAGCGATTGCTTTTTTCTTCCAGTTTTTGCTAAAATTCTTGTACATATTATTTATAAACATTTTCACAAGCCATATAACAACAAATAACCTTTTAAACACTCTACAATCTGGTTTTTGTTAAAAGGACTCTACAATACATAATTGAAGCGACTCTGTATATAGTATACAGTGTGTGCATTTAAAGAAAGAAAATAACTCAAGAAATTTTTCTCGACTTCATTCTATCTGAGACTGATTCTTAATATACATAGATAGTCAACATACTGACAGCTAGAATTAAACATTGAAAAAATTTGAATTAATAACTTTTAATGAGTTGACAAATAGATTAAAGTCATCATCAATAACAATGAACAACATTCATTTAAATAAAGCAGCATCCCAAGTAAAACTAAGTAAGCAAGAAAACTTAGCTGCAAGCGGTGCCGCATCGAACACCTCATTGTCTGATTAATTAACAGCATCTAGCTGCATTCAATTAAAGTTAGATTCAATCTAGATAAATTTACCGTTATTCTAGATGCAAGCACCCACTTTACGATTTTTTCATGTTTGAAGTGTGTTTAATATCAAAATTCAAATGATTAACGCACACTAATGATGTGCATAATCATGACAGTAAAATATCGTGTTTAGTGTTTAGGGTAATAGTAAAACGTGAAGACACCCACACACATCCACAGACACTTACAAAAACCTACAAACAGCACACAGACATCGATTGATAGCCACTGACAGCTACACGGACAGCATAGAGACACCCACAGACAACTCAAAATAACTATACAGACATCCACTTATACGGACATAGGAGGGACACAGAAGTGGATGTCTGTATAGTTATTTTGGGTTGTCTGTGGTTGTCTCTATGCTGTCTGTGTAGCTGTCAGTGGCTATCTGTGAATGTCTGTATGCTGTCTGTAGGTGTCTGTAAGTGTCTGTGGATGTCTTTATGTTTTGCTATTATCCTTAGTGTTTATTATATTTAGTTTGTATTTGACCGGCGATAGTAAAAATGTTTATGATCGCTTACAATTGTGTACGGCATTACGATTGTATACCGTAATGTATTACGTCTACATGGAATATGATCATATTTGGCCATAAATTGATCATAAGTAATATTTTTAATCACCGAATAATGTAGTCAATCGAAAAGAATCAAAATAATCATACTCATTTACTAGCCATTGTACGTGAGTAACGGCCTACTACAGTGAAGTAGCCTTCAATCGATGTTTTCAAAACCTAGTATACTGCTGGAGTACACCACGTGTACTACCATAGTTCATTTCGCAATTTGTGGGTTTCGCTAAAATGGCTTTGGGGCTCGGTTGGAGACACCGAGTTCTAGAGGCTCGCTTCAATCAGTGTATTTCTGCTATAGTATATTAAAATTTCAATAAAAACCAGTTTGATATACAACTTTTCACAAGGAATTCAATGGTAATACAACAATAAGTTAATTCTACTATTAATGCGTTCCTATGTGCGAGTTCCACCAAGGGTACCTCTAATAGGTTCCCTTCTAATGAATTGTCATATGCCGGTCAGTGGTTTTTTAATAACTCAAGAATGAAAGGCGATGGAAACTTGTGGGTTTTCGATTCGATAGCCAAGACTTTAAGCTATCTTTTTATAACTAAAACAAAGTTGAGAATATTTCTCAATGACCGACTTTCTAGGAGATCTCCAGAAAACCGTTTCGTAATTCTAAACGATAAAGTAGTGATACATTGGCTTTTCTAGGAGTAAATAGCCTAAAGTATCCTCTTCAATGTGTGAGCCAAGCGAGACTTTGGTTTTGAGTAATTTGGACATGGTATCTGATTTCCATGGAGCATCATGATTGGCACTCAGTGGTTTTGAGTAACCTTGGAAGAAGAAGAGAAGTACATAGTCGACCACGCTAAATCTGATGGCGACGTTTATTTTATTTTACTTTATGTTACTCTTCCTCTTTCAAGGTTGCTCGAAGCCACTGAATGTGTTGTTGCATTATCATTGAATTCCTTGTGAAAAGTTGCATATCAAGCTAATTTTTATGAAATTTTAATATACTATAGCAAAAAATACACTGATTGAAGCAAGCTTCTAGATCTCGGTGCCTCCGACCGCTCCGGAGCCACTTTAGCGAAACCCACAAATCGTAAACGTAACACTATTCGCAAGCATCGTTTCAGAATCCTTAGAATCTTCTGCTCAGAGTAAACTGATAATTTCGGCGAAGATAGATCCTAGTTTAGAACTAATATATTTATTGAACAAACTTCCATTCATAGTAAAGCAACAAGATATGCGTTAAATATCTCAACCTCTTGATACATCTCCTAATTGTTCGTCACTGATCCCATTTTTCATCAAAAAAAAGCGAAACAAAACGTTTTGATAACATCTTTTTTCTTTCATGTGATCATACAATATTTTAAGCTCCACGTTGAGCTAAGAACATGCACAAAACTAAAACAAAGACTAATGTACAAGAATTTGTCAGCAAAACTTTCAGATTTTATTTGCGTAGCGACAAATTACAAGAATGACAAATGACAAGAAAATCTCACTATTATGTCATAAAAGACATACGGACACCATATGTTTAGAAATGTCGTTCGTGATCTACATGTCTGTCATGTTCTTTTCTATTCTTCTTACGTCATCTTCTGTCCTGTACTACTGACGTTCATTACTCTTTTCCATTTGTTTCTCATATGTTCAACTATATGTAAATTTTATATATAAATAGTTGTATTTTTAAGTGTGTTTTCGTATAGTTATTCGGATTATTAGTTCGGAATAAATAAAGTGATAAAAATTATTCAATGTTGTATTTGAAAGAATAATACTTTCTTTGGTTTCATTGTGATTTTTTATATCTTAGAGTACTTTGGGGTGACAAAACAGACACTTCACTAATACGCTCGAGGTAAACAGAGACAGTCCATTCAGATCCATAGAGTTTTAATCAATAAAGCGCTGTTAAATCCTGATTAAGGAATTAATTAGAAACAACTAGTATTATACACTCAATACTTGCTTTTAACCTTTTAGACGCCAGAAGTTCATAATCTAATTGTTCAAACTTGACGAGCAATGTTCGATGAGGTGAAGGAGGAAGAGGTGTTATACCAACACTTTTATACCAGCTACTGGCAATAATAACAAACTTTAAATGTTATATACTCGTGTTAGATCTTCACTTTGTTGTTATAAGCTTTATTTAGTATAACTTTAACTGTCATCTCTCCAGTCCAATGGCACTGAAATCGGGTTACCCCATTGCATCTGTGTCCAAAGGTACCGAGACACTGAGCATTAGATACCTTGTCCAAGACTATCACTCGACCGCCGTTGCCAGGATTCGAACTCCGTATGTTTGAAGTACGTTGTCTGCCCACTAATCAACTGAGTCACGCTGCTTTCAGTTTGTTCCATCACACGAGCGTCA